AGTTGTGAGAGAAGGATCACCAGCACTGTGTGACTCACTAGTTGTGGGGGAAGGATCACCAGCACTGTGTGACCCACTAGTTGTGAGGGAAGGATCACCAGCACTGTGTGACCCACTAGTTGTGAGAGAAGGATCACCAGCTCTGTGTGACCCACTAGTTGTGAGAGAAGGATCACCAGCACTGTGTGACCCACTAGTTGTGAGAGAAGGATCACCAGCACTGTGTGACCCACTAGTTGTGAGAGAAGGATCACCAGCACTGTGTTGACCCACTAGTGTGGGGGAAGGATCACCAGCACTGTGGGACCCACTAGTTGTGAGAGAAAATCACCAGCACTGTGTGACCCACTAGTTGTGAGAGAAGGATCACCAGCACTGTGTGACCCACTAGTTGTGAGAGAAGGATCACCAGCACTGTGTGACCCACTAGTTGTGGGGGAAGGATCACCAGCACTGTGTGACCCACTAGTTGTGAGAGAAGGATCACCAGCACTGTGTGACCCACTAGTTGTGGGGGAAGGATCACCAGCACAGTGTGACCCCACTAGTTGGGGGGGAAGGATCACCACACTGTGTGACCCACTATTGTGGGGGAAGGATCACCAGCACTGTGTGACCCACTATTTTTTGGGGGAAGGATCACCAGCACTGTGTGACCCACTAGTTGTGGGGGAAGGATCACCAGCACTGTGTGACCCACTAGTTGTGGGGGAAGGATCACCAGCACTGTGTGACCCACTAGTTGTGAGAGAAGGATCACCAGCACTGTGTGACCCACTAGTTGTGAGAGAAGGATCACCAGCACTGTGTGACCCACTAGTTGTGAGAGAAGGATCACCAGCACTGTGTGACCCACTAGTTTGGGGAAGGATCACCAGCACTGTGTGACCCACTAGTTGTGGGGAAGGATCACCAGCACTGTGTGACCCCACTAGTTGTGGGGGAAGGATCACCAGCACTGTTGACCCCACTAGTTTTGGGGAAGGATCACCACACTGTGTGACCCACTATTTGGGGGAAGGATCACCAGCACTGTGTGACCCACTAGTTGTGGGGAAGGAATCACCAGCACTGTGTGACCCACTATTGTGAGAGAAGGATCACCAGCACTGTGTGACCCACTAGTTGTGAGAAAAGGGATCACCAGCACTGTGTGACCCACTAGTTGCGGGGAAGGATCACCAGCACTGTGTGCCCCACTAGTTGTGAGAAAAAGGATCACCAGCACTGTGTGACCCACTAGTTGTGAGAGAAGGATCACCAGCACTGTGTGACCCACTAGTTGTGGGGGAAGGATCACCAGCACTGTGTGACCCACTAGTTGTGGGGGAAGGATCACCAGCACTGTGTGACCCACTAGTTGTGGGGGAAGGATCACCAGCACGTGTGACCCACTAGTTGGGGGGGAAAAGGATCACCAGCACTGTGTGACCCACTAGTTGGGGGGGGAAAGGATCACCAGCACTGTGTGCCCCACTAGTTTGGGGGGGAAGGATCACCAGCACTGTGTGACCCACTAGTTGTGGGGGAAAGGGATCACCAGCACGTGTGACCCACTAGTTTGGGGGGAAGGAAAACCAGCACTGTGTGACCCACTATTGTGAGAGAAAGATCACCACACTGTGTGACCCACTATTGGGGGGGGGAAGGATCACCAGCACTGTGTGACCCACTAGTTGTGGGGGAAGGATCACCAGCACTGTGTGACCCACTAGTTGTGGGGGAAGGATCACCAGCACTGTGTGACCCACTAGTTGTGGGGGAAGGATCACCAGCACTGTGTGACCCACTAGTTGTGAGAGAAGGATCACCAGCACTGTGTGACCCACTAGTTGTGGGGGAAGGATCACCAGCACTGTGTGACCCACTAGTTGTGGGGGAAGGATCACCAGCACTGTGTGACCCACTAGTTGTGGGGGGAAGGATCACCGGGCACTGTGTGCCCCCACTGTTGGGGGGGAAAGGGATCACCAGCACTGTGTGACCCACTAGTTGTGGGGAAGGATCACCAGCACTGTGTGCCCACTAGTTGTGAGAGAAGGATCACCAGCACTGTGGACCCACTAGTTGTGGGGGAAGGATCACCAGCACGGGTGTACCCACTAGTTGTGGGGGAAGGATCACCAGCACTGTGTGACCCAATAGTTGTGGGGAAGGATCACCAGCACATGTGTGACCCACTAGTTGTGGGGGAAGGATCACCAGCACTGTGTGACCCACTAGTTGTGGGGGGAAGGATCACCAGCACTGTGTGCCCCACTAGTTGTGAGAGAAAGGATCACCACACTGTGTGACCCACTAGTTGTGAGAGAAGGATCACCAGCACTGTGTGACCCACTAGTTGTGGGGGAAGGATCACCAGCACTGTGTGACCCACTAGTTGTGGGGGAAGGATCACCAGCACTGTGTGACCCACTAGTTGTGAGAGAAGGATCACCAGCACTGTGTGACCCACTAGTTGTGAGAGAAGGATCACCAGCACTGTGTGACCCACTATTTTGTGGGGGAAGGATCACCAGCACTGTGTGACCCACTAGTTGTGAGAGAAGGATCACCAGCACTGTGTGACCCACTAGTTGTGGGGGAAGGATCGCCAGCACTGTGGACCCACTAGTTGTGGGGGAAGGACCCTCCAGCACTGTGTGACCCCACTAGTGTGGGGGAAGATCGCCAGCACTGTGTGACCCACTAGTTTGGGGGAAGATCACCAACACTGTGTGACCCACTAGTTGTGGGGGAAGGATCGCCAGCACTGTGTGACCCACTAGTTGTGGGGGAAGGATCACCAGCACTGTGTGACCCACTAGTTGTGGGGGAAGGATCGCCAGCACTGTGTGACCCACTAGTTGTGGGGGAAGGATCACCAGCACTGTGGGGACCCACATTTGGGGGGAAGGATCACCAGCACTGTGTGACCCACTAGTTGTGGGGGAAGGATCACCAGCACTGTGTGACCCACTAGTTGTGGGGGAAGGATCACCAGCACTGTGTGACCCACTAGTTGTGGGGGAAGGATCACCAGCACTGTGTGACCCACTAGTTGTGGGGGAAGGATCGCCAGCACTGTGTGACCCACTAGTTGTGGGGGAAGGATCACCACACTGTTGTGACCCACTAGTTGTGGGGAAGGATCACCAGCACTGTGTGACACACTATTTTGTGGGGGAAGGATCACCAGCACTGTGTAAACCCACTATTTGTGGGGGAAGGATCACCAGCACTGTGTGACCCACTAGTTGTGGGGGAAGGATCACCAGCACTGTGTGACCCACTAGTTGACATGAACAAGTCAATATTGTTGATCCTAACTTGTGGTTCACACAGTGTTCCACTAAAAAATAATCACAGTATTTAAGAATGGAGAGAGACGAGAAGAAGTGTTGTACTACAGACCAGTGTTACTGCTGTATATACCATGCAAGGTGATGTAGATGATAGTGAAGAGACTGGTAGAACACTGTAATATATACCATGCAAGGTGATGTAGATGATAGTGAAGAGACTGGTAGAACACTGTAATATATACCATGCAAGGTGATGTAGATGATAGTGAAGAGACTGGTAGAACACTGTAATATATACCATGCAAGGTGATGTAGATGATAGTGAGGAGGTTCGAGGTTCTTTAACTAGAAGATTGGTAAGTTTGGAGAGGAAGAAGAGTAGGTAAAGATGGGGGGTGAGGAGAGGGGGCGATGAAGGTAAGTGGCCCAACCATTGTGGCGCATATTAATAAAGGTGTGTGTTGTGTTATTCATGATAACTATATGATGAAATATACCACAGCACCCATCAGAGGCACACATGTATATAAGTTGCATACATGCATGACAGGGAAGTCCATTGCCTTTTTTTTGGGGGGGGGGAGGGCAGGAGACAAATTATTTGGACTGGTTGCAAGGAGTCTGCTGGAGCTGGTGGTCGGCTGATCTGGTCCTGAGGCGGTGTCCTGCAATAGGAGGTTTTCAGATGTTACTTGGTTATATGTAAGATATTCACAAGAAGGGCGATTTTATCTCACAGCTTGGCTCAGGTAATATCCATTCTTCAGGGAGATAACTCAGAATCATTGGTCTTGGAAAGTCCTCCTTGTGAATGAAACGTTGGACTCTTTGTTGGAGGGACATCCTGTGGGTTCTATAGGGAAGTGCATTGATTCTGTAGTCACTGGTGTTGGGTGGGGAGGGTTTTCCCCGTCTGGAATATAGAGTTCTTGCATGGCATATAATTATCTGTCACTTCTTTAATTTGTCCAGCCTGGTATATAATTATTGCGTCGATCTCCTTGTTGGATGTGCAGATCTTCCATTCTGGTTCTGTCCCTCAGTCTGGTGCCTGTGATGAAGTGAAGTGCCTTGTTCTGGACTCTTTGCAGCTGTAACATGTAAATGACGTGGGATATTCAAGCATAGGTCTTATCATTATCTTATACATGTGCTTCTTGATATAAGTAGAGTCCTGATTAAACCTGTATAGTTGACTGAGACAGGCTTTAGCTAAGTTTACCGTTTTGGTGATGTTTGATGTAGAGTGGAGTAACCTTTCGATCTTGTAGCCCAGGGTCTTATTCGAGTTTTTAATAGTGATAGGTGTACCTCTGTTGGAGATACCTCCGTTGTTTCCAATTGTTGAGGAATAAGATTCGATGGTACTGATGAGGACCTTGTCCAGACTGGGTGTGTTTCTCCATTTCTTCTCCCAGTTGGCTTTTTTTGTAATTCCATATTATTTTTTTCTATCACCCTTTCGTGTTTTTTTCCATTTGCAGGGATGGATGATAGGACATGAATAACATCGTCAGCAAATTGGGCAACGATGGTGTAGTTGCATTTAGGTTGGGGGAGGTCATTTACATATATATTGAAAAGACTGGGGTTCCGGCACGAAACCTGTAGCACTCCAGCTGTTGGTGTGAATGACTCTGCCATCTTGCAATTGAAGGTGGGGATGATGCTTCTCCTTGTTAAGAAGTTACATATGGGTATGAGAAAGGTCCAGTTATGATCTTGAAGGCCACTAAGTTTGAATATGATGCCGTCGTGCCACAGGCTATCAAAAGCTATGTGTACATCCCGAGTCGGAATCAGGGCAAGATTGCCATATTTCTGCAGGCTGTCCACGGCTTCGAATGATATTAATGGAGTGTCAGGTTCCTCTGTGGGTTCTAAAATCAAACTGCTTTTCACTGAAGACTTTGCTAATGACTTCAAGTTTGTAGTTCTCTAGCTTATGCTTGTCTTCATTAAGTTTTTCAATGAATATCATCCTTGCTGTCTTAAGTGCCATGGGGAAGTGTCCATAGGCCAAGATGGCATTATAGATACTTACCAGAGACATTTCGAAGTTTCAAGGTGAATACTTTATTTGTTTTACCGTTATGCCTGAGGGGCCGGGAGCTTTATTTCTCGTTCTGCCTTTGACTTGGCACATCTCTCTTAGAGTAATGGTCTAGTAAGGGGATGGTCATCTTTCGGAGTTGTTGTGTTAATTAATGGTATTGGTTGGAAGTCTGCTCGGTTGTCATCTCTCCATTGGTTGGCCAACTGGTTTAGATTTAGATTTAGATTTATATTTTTATATTTTGACAAATTACATGGTTGTACAGAGGAATATAATAGTTGGGTGTACATGCCAAAAGCTATGTAAGTTGAATCTTCTACTATCGCTGTGTGAGAGAATTTTCTCCCACAGTTCTCATTAAAACTGGCTTGGTATAGCGGGTTTTCCAGGTTGATAGCCATTTCCTCATCGTCTTCGTCGGTGATGGAGTGTGTTAGGAATTGTGTAGACGTGGGCTCTGCCCCCAAGAGCCGGCGAATCATACTCCAAAACTGTTCGGGCCGATGTTTGTATTGGTTAGCCTGGAGAACAAGGTATTTCCATATCTCGCTTTTGTGCTGGGTGATTAAGTTGATTAATTCACGCCTCATCCTTGCAATATAACCAGTGTTGGGCTGTCCTGTCTGGTGGTGCCTAGTACACTTTGTTTGGTAATTTTTCATGCTGTCCCTAATTTCTCTGATTGGTTTGTACTGTTGATATATCTTTGATGATATTAGTTCGCAGCATCCACGGGTGGCATCTGAGATTCATTCGCAAAGGGAACTGATTGCTTCGTCTATTGCAGCTGAGGGCTGGTTCTCAAGCGAAACGGTATGGTCATCGCCTAGGTAGTTCCTGAAGGGATCAAAGCCCAGAGCTTTTAGGCTAGGTTTTGGTGGGATGGGTATCCTGTATGACGATGTCTGGAGCTCTATTATAGCAGAAATGTGGTCCGACCCAACATTTCCACCAGGACAAACTCAGCGATAGAATATGTCGCAGTCTCTGTTGGTAAGGACTACGTCGGGTGTCCCTGGGTGGAGGAACCATAGTTTTCTAGCTGACATTAAGTTGAACAACTGCTTTTGTTTATGATCACCAAATGGTTGGCAGACGCCTCAGCTGAAGAAAGTGGAGTGATGGGCTTTAAAATCCCCTGCAATTACTGTGGGACCATTTTTACTGAGTATCCGATGTATGGGGATGGACTCTATGTACGGCTGTCTAGGTTCCCACTATAGCTGCACATAGGAGGTCGTCAGTTTTTATTACAAAGATGTCTTCATCAACGTGAATGTTACGGAATGCATATCCTAGTTTCACTAGTACAGGCACCCAGCTGTGGGGCCCTCTAGATTCCTCTAGTGTTGAATAACCTCGCAGTTTAATGTGTTGGTCAGGTCTGGCAGCTGCCTCGTTGAAGAGGATGATGTCTGTTGTGGTTGCAGAGGTCAACTTCCGGGAGGTATCGATTGTTGAAGAAATGTTGGATGTTAAGTTGTAAAATAGTAATCCCCACTATTTCTTCTGCTTTGAATTGTTGCAGGTTGCAAGCTGTTAGTGTCTGAGATTATAATAAAATATTGCGTGTGTACTCTCCTTACTTGACTCCTCATCGGGAAGGCGGTAATCCTGTGTAGTTTCTGAGACCAGCTTAACCGGTCCTCTTCGTTGCTGCTAGTGTTGGTGACATTGCTTGATTTGTCTGAGTCCTTTTCCGACTCATCAGATACTACATCCACTTTATGCACTGGCTCGTTTTGCTTATCCACATTAGAGGGCACATCCATGACCCTGTCAATCGGCGACAGTGGGAGTCTATTCGTAGAAAGATACCAGAGAGAGTTGACCTCGATGCTCGATTTCTTCTCCATTTGGGGTAATATTGGAACCTAATTGGTTATTTAGAGCTGTCTCTACAGAGGCGTTTTCTGCAGCAGAGTCTGTTGCAGATGCAGGATACTTCTCTGATGGCCTGTGTCCCTGTTTCAGTCTGGCCATCTTCCATAGCTGGGCCATGTTACGGGAGGTGGGTTGGCACTATGTGGGTGCTGGGAGAGAAACAGTCTCCTTAGCTTGAGGGGGAAGACTCATTAATGTGAGTACATTATGTGGAATGCTGCCACCACTGCCACCACTCAGTGCTACCACCACTACCACCACTACCACCACTCAGTGCTACCACCACTCAGAGCAACCACCACTCAGTGCTACCACCTCTACTACCACTCAGTGCTACCACTACTACCACCGCTCAGTGCTACTACCACTACCACCACTCAGTACTACCACCACTATAACCACTCAGTGCTACCACCTCTACCACCACTCAGTGTTATCACCACTGCCACCACTCAGTGCTACCACCACTACCACCACTACCACCACTCAGTGCTACCACCACTCAGAGCAACCACCACTCAGTGCTACCACCTCTACTACCACTCAGTGCTACCACTACTACCACCGCTCAGTGCTACTACCACTACCACCACTACCACCACTCAGTGCTACCACCACTACCACCACTCAGTGCTACCACCACTACCACCACTCAGTGCTACCACCACTATAACCACTCAGTGCTACCACCACTACCACCACTCAGTGCTACCACCACTACCACCACTCAGTGCTACCACCACTCAGAGCAACCACCACTCTTTGCTACCCCCTCTATCCCACCAGTGCTAAACAAACCCACCGCTCAGTGTACTCCCCACTACCACCACTCAGTATACACCATTTAAAACCCTCAGTGTACCACCTCTACCACCACTCATGTTTATCACCACTGCCACCTCAGTGTCCACCATCATTTGCCCCCAGTCTACCCCATCAGTGCTCCAATTATAACACTACTCTACTACTCCCCAGCACCCCCCTCCCAAACACTATATACCCCCCACCACTCCCAAACACTAATACCGCAAAACCACACTACCCCCAACCCCCATCCCCCTATTTTCCCCCCGACCCCCTCCCAACATACTACAAAACCAGCACCCCCACTCCCAACACATATACTCCAGCACCCCACTACCAACCACCACACCACCCCCCCTACCAACACACCACCCCCACCACTCCAACACTACATACTACCCACCACCACTCCCAAACACTACCGAAAACCCCAACCCCAAACTACTATACTCCAGCCCACCACTACAACACTTATACTACACCACCACCACTCCAAACACTATACTACTACCGCCCCAAACCATTTCCCAACACTACTACATACCGCACCACCATACCAACACTACTATAGTACCTAAATCCCAAATTTTTGGTTTTAGCGGTTGGTCACAAGGTATTTGGGGTCAGGTATTAACCCTGGTCACAGTATTGCCCAAGTATAACACGGGTAGTCATCACGGCTGGGGACCGTTGTCGTATTTTCCCACGTCACTTTCCCGGGGTTTAGAATTGTGCTCCTGTCCTGCTTTTAAAAGTTAAGTGACGAGATGTTGTTGTGTCTGACATTGTAACACATTTTTGTTAAACCCTCCTGGAGGTACTGGAGTGTACCTGGAGTGTCCCTGGAGGGTACCTGGAGGTACTGGAGTGTCCCTGGAGTGTCCCTGGAGTGCCCTGGAGTGTACCTTGTGTACCTGGGTGTCCCGGGAGTGTCCCTGGAGTGTACCTGGAGTGTACCTGGTGGTACCTGGTGTACCGGGAGTGTACCTGGGTGTACCTGGGGGGTCCCTGGAGTGACCTGGAGTGTCCCTGGAGGGTCCTAGGTCCTGGTGTGTACCGGAGTGTACCTGGAGGTACCTGGAGTGTACGGATTTACTGGGTGTACTGGAGTGTACCGGGTTCCGGGAGGGACTGGAGTGTGCCGGGAGTGTGCCTGGGGAGTGTACCGGGGGAAGGTACCTGGAGTTACCTGGAGTGACCTGGGTGTCCCTGGGGTGTCGGGAGTGTACCGGGATTGTACCTGGGGTCCCTGGATTGTAACTGGATGACCTGGAGTGTCCCGGGGGTTTCCCTGGAGTGTACCTGGAGTGTCCCTGGAGTGTCCCCGGGGGGTTCCGGGGAGTGGCCTGGTGTGTACCTGGAGGTCCCTGGGTGTACCTGGAGTGTACCTGGGTGTACCTGGCGTCCCTGGGTTACCTGGTGTTGCCTGGTGTGTCCCTGGAGTGTACCTGAAGGTCCCCTGGAGTGTACTGGAGTGTCCCGGGATGTACCTGGAGTGTACCGGGGGGTGCCTGGAGTGTCGGGGTTGTGTGGCCGGTGTTACCTGGAGTGTACCGGGGAGTGTCCCTGGAGTGTCCCTGGAGTGTACCTGGGTGTACCTGGAGTGTACCTGGAGTGTGCCTGGAGTGTACCGGGGAGTGTCCCGGGTGTACCTGGAGTGTACCTGGAGGTACCTGGAATGTACCTGGAGTTACCTGGAGTGTACCTGGAGTGTATGGAGTTTACCTGGAGTGTGCCTGGAGTTACCTGGAGTTACCTGGAGTATACCTGGAGTGTACCTGGAGTGTCCCTGGATTTTTATCTGGAGTGTGAAGGGAGGGGTTGGGTGTAACCTGGAGTGTCCGGGAATTGCCTGGAGTGTACTATTGTACCTTGGAGTAAAACCTGGAGTGTATCTGGAGGTGATGGATGTACCGGGAAATGTGCCTGGGTGTCCCTGGGTGCCCCGGGAGTGTCCCTGGGTGTCCCTGGAGGTACCTGGAGATTTTTTTCGTAATTTTAGGTACTTGACTTACTATACATGCAGTGAAAGTTCTCATTATATTCCCCAGATTTTAAATTTCGCCTCCTTGCAAGGCGCGTTTGGGTACTGCGTATTCCACCCTAGAGGGCCAAATGACGTTTTTATCGTTTTGAGTTCTCTTTATCTACCCTATTATTTTCCTAGCGATGTGGTAGATACATGCTGCAAACTTTGAAAAGAGATTCTCTGCATTATCACCCCAGGCCCTTCAATTAGTTTCTCATCTTATGTTTATAATTTACTTTATACTGCGATCTGGTTTTATTTCCTCAAGTTCTCCATATTGTTTTCTGTGACCCATTTAAAGACTTGGTTTTTTTCCTCTTGTAGTTTTTACTTTCCCTTAAGGGTTTCACTGTATGTAAAATGTATCGTCAGAAAAGGACACAGTGCGGGGGGAAAACATCTCTTTTTGTCATAATGAGGATGGGAAGGAGGGGAGCGAGTACTGGCCTTGTGGAACACAACTTTATCACGAAGCAGCCCCTTGCTTTATTTATATTCTCTTTGTGTCTATTTGTTAAAAAGTTGCAACTCCATCTACCCATTTTTCCTGTTATTCCTTTTTACAATTTTGTGCCTATTACACCAGGGTCGCACTTGTAAAAGGGCTTTTGCAAAGCTGGAATAACCCCTGTTTTTTGGATTTCCTCTAGTGTACCCAAAGCTTGTTGGTTTGGTCCAGTACTTTACCACGTCGTGGTGGATTAGTGGTGGAGTTTTGGTGGAAAAGTGTGGAGTATTAATTTAGCGGAATAGTGTAAATTTAATAGTGTGTAGCAGTGTGGAGAATGGTGAAGTATGTTGGCGAAGGGTGAAGTAGGTTGGGAAATTGGAGCAGTGATGGGGGATTTGGGGGAGTGGTGTAGGTGTGGTGAATAGTGGTGAAGTGTTGGAGCAATAGTAAGCAGTGTTGGAGTGGTGGTGGGCATTTGATGAAGTACTGGTGGGTAGTGTAGTGGAGGGAAGTGGTGGGTATGGTGAGGTTGGAGCAATGGTGGGGTAGTGGAGTAGGTAGAGTATTGTATATTAGTGGTGGGGTATGGAGTACTGGTAGAGTAGTTGTATATTTTGGTGGGTGTGGGTAGTGGTGGAGCAGTTTTATATTAGTGGTGATGTAGTGGAGTAGTTTTAATTTGTATGGGGGTGTACTGGGGTAGTGTGGATGTTGTAATTAGTGGGGTGAGTGGAAAATAGTTGAAGGTTTGGGGTGTTGGAGTAGTGGTGGGGTAGTTGTATAGTAGTGGGGGTGTAGGGGGGAAGTTGTTAGTAATGGGGGGTACTGGGGTAGGGGTGGGGTTTGTAGTATATTATGGTGGTGTAGTGGGTTGTTGTATGGTAGTGGTGGTGTACTGAGAAATGGTGGAGTAGTTGTATAGTATGGGGGTGTAGTGGAGAAATTGTATAGTAATGGTGGTGTATGGGGTAGTGGGGGGTAGTATATATTAGTGGTGGTGTAGGGGTAGTGGTGGGGTAGTTGTATTTTTAGTGGTGGGTAGCGGGGTAGGGTGGAGTAGCGTATATTAGGGTGGTGTAGTGGGTAGGGTGGAGTTTTTTTTAGTTGTGGTGGGGTTAAATGGAGTGTGGTGGAGTAGTTGATAGTAGTATGGTGTAGGGGTAGTGGTGGGTAGTTGTATAGTAGTAGTGGTGTATGGAGTAGTGGTGGAGTTTGTTTTGTGGTGGGGTAGTGGAGTAGTTTTGGAGGTTGTATATTGTGGGGGCGTAGTGGAGTATGGTGGGGTAGTTATTAATTGTGGTGTGTAGTGGGTATGGTGGGGTATGTATAGTAGTAGTGGTGTGGGAGTAGTGGGGAGTAGTTGTATTAGTTGGTTGTAGTGGGTAGTGGGGAGTAGTTTTTATAGTTGGGTGGGGTAGGGAGTAGTTTTGGAGTAGTTTTATAGTTTTGGGGGTGTAGTGGAGTAGGGTGGAGTAGTTTTTATAGTAGTGGTGGTGAGTGGGGAAGGGTGTGGGAAATGGGGGGAGTTGTTAGTATGGGGTTTGGGGGAGTAGTGGGGAGTAGTTGGGAAAAAGTGGTGGTTGTATGGGTATGGGGGAGTATTGTATAGTTGTGGTGGAGTAGTGGAGTAGTGGTGGGCAGGTATGTTGTAGTGGGGTTTGTGGGGTATGGGGGAGAAATTGTAATTTTTGGTGGGGTGGGAGTAGGGTGGGTAGTTGTACACCCTGTTGGGGGTAGTGGGGGTAGGGGTGGAGTAGTTGTTTAGTGTGGTGGGGTAGTGGAGTAGTGGGGGGTGTGTATGTTTTGGGGGGTGCAGTCAGAAATGGTGGATAGTTTTATAGTA